ATAATTATACTCCTTAATGGAAAAGGGTGTGCATTTTTGATGATAGTGATGATTGCAAATATCGCACTGAACTCTTCTCTTGATCTTAACTAGTGAGTTTTTGCATTTATGACAATGGAAGTTAGTATTAGAACTCATTATTCATTAAGTAAATCTTTATAATTAATAAATTAATGAAGTAAAAGTGACTTAGCTGATAGACCGTACAAATAAGGTTTATGAAGGAGTTGATAACTTTTCAAGATCCTTTTCAGATGAAATGGTGACAGCACGTGTTCTCTTATTTTGTCTCATAAATATTTTTCCATTCTCGTCCATATGAATTTATATCCAAGTGTCTTCTTTGTTTCTAAGCTTTTGTTAAATAATATTTTGTTCTGTTTAGTGAGACTCTCACTGATAAAGATTAGGTATAAGATAAGCTTCAATTTAAGGTAAAATTCAACCATTTTTAAAACTAAACTGCCTTAATTTAATTAAATGGCTTTATCGATTAACTTTGACTTTGTAATAACTAAATGATTTCAAATTCTCGCATGCAAATAACTTTTCTTTCTTTTTTATTTAAAAAGTTCAATATAATAAAAAAGGGAATCAATATTAAAGATACACTAAAATTATATGCTGTCTTGTTTAGTTGTTTCATATACGCAAAAGGCCGTCGGGTTCTAAACTAAAGTAATTATAAAATCAATATTTAAAACAAACTTACCTTCGTTAACGTCGGCTCCCTTCTTTTAGCCGATTCTTTCGCCCTTTCTTACTGAGAAAGCTTCTGAAATTTATAAAATCTTGCAAAAATGAAATATATTTGCATGAAATTTATCAATCATCAAATCAAGAAATGTTTGCAATTTCGCTGTAGTCATGAAATCGTTATAATGCAAACTTTAAATTGGTCAGAAAGGACCAATCAGTGTTCGCTATTCATGACAGTCCGCCATATTTTTGAGATCAGTGAGGATGACCACCCACCCAACACCCCAACATCGTTGGTCACCCACGCCCGCGATAATTGATGAACTTTAGACTTCGCTAATGCTTTCGTTTCCCCAAGTGTAAATAGCCGGCGGGGGGATAACCTGAAGTTCAGGCCCTATCACAGAATAGGGCCTGACACAAAACCTATCTAAAGTGTGGGATTCCCGTCCACCTGGTGGACGGGAAATCTGATTGGTTGATCAGCATCATGAAGGATTTTGATTGGTTGCAAGTTCACATAAACAACAGTTTTAAAAATAGCTCGGTCAAGGCGAAAATTAATATAAAGGTCAAACGCACGTAACAAATTCCATTATCGATTTCTTCGAATTTCTTTTCTTTTATGCTTTATGGCAGAAAATAAGTCAAACAAACAGTATTGTGAAAGGGCTTCATCAAAATCTTTGACGAATTTGGACACACACGACGCTGAAAGAACAGCCAAACTAGTCATGTATTCGAAAGCTTGTTGTTGAAAGCCAAGATGTTCTGCCAACTTGCTTCGTCGGCAAAAGTCTTATTTTTAATATCAGGTCCTACCGGCGTAATTGTTTTCTGAGCTACATCGCCTTCTTCGTGGTATGATTGAGAATTTAATTGTTGCTGTTATTAGCCCGTTAGTCGTTAGAGTATATCCGCGTCCAGCAAGTTGAGACCTTGAGAAGGCTTGGCAGTCAAGCCGTGCACAGAATTGACTAATTAAATCTTTGTTTGCTGTTCGCCTGTTCGGTTAAATAGAGAAACTGACTCTTAATTATATAAAAGTACCTTGAATTTTTAAGTTTAATTAAAAAGCAAAATGCTCTGCGGACATGTTCATGTCGTTCATGAGAATATAAATTTTTTGTGTAACGAAATCTACAACACTTGTCAATCATATTGCATGTGTGTCTAAAAATAACATGTGGGCGTCCCACGGTCTAGACAGGTTTTGTGTCGGGCCCTATTTCAAATTAGGGCCTGAACTTCAGGTTAGCGGGGGGAGGGGGTTAGTACCCGCGCACGGCGCTTCTCCCTTCGGCTCGGGGACAAAAGTGAAGCCGGAAGTCACCGGCCGCCATCCGATTCTGGGGCCCTAATAGACGGTTTTAGATAACAAGACGCAGACGTCAAGAGGACGTGAACATGACGTATGCACCTCTTGTTCACTTCCGGGTTTTAATCTGGGACGGGTTGTTTGTCTTTTTCGAAGCCAATTTTTGTTTTCTTGTTACCTGTTCATTCCTGTATTGTTTTCAATCAGTTGTCAAGATATGTCGGCAAGAAAAGGCTATATAATACTGGCCAAGTGTTTCCTGATGAATTTGTTAATATAATTCAGTTTAGTTTGTTCTAAAATATTTATTTTGGTGAAGATTACTATAGATATTGAAGTGGTTATTAACAATGCTTGCAGTTTTGTTGATTTGTTTATGGCGACCGAGAGTATTTGTCGAAAATCAACTCGTCTAAAATTTAGCGAAATACAAGAAAAACAACCTTGTCAATGGAAAAACTTTAGCTAGTATCATTAAACAATACATGAGGAACAAAATAGGATAATTTTTATTATGCGTAGTCCCATATTTTTTTCAAAAGAAGCAAAAATCTCTGACTTTCTAGAGAGGACGTGAAAATTGTATTTTCGCGTCGTGAAATCGTCCAAGACGAAGTCACTAACCAGAATTGACGATAGTTGGCGCCAAATGACGACATCCACGTCCTCTTGACGTCCGCGTCTTGTTATCTAAAACCGTATATTATTCCTAATGTGTTTATAAAAAATCAAATGATTATCTAGAGTTAACCCGATGTCTTTTGCGTTTAAACTGGTGTAATAGCTTTTCCAAACATTTTCTCCAGAAGATTACCAAGCAATTGACATGAGCCTATATTATTAATAAACTTTTTTAATTGATTAGCAGTTTGTTTCGGACGCACCAAATTGTCACTCGTTTAAGGTCGTTTACTATGTTGCTCTTGGCAGTGGAACCATTTTTAATTGAAAACAGGATGAATATTTTGCAATAATCCACTAACTTTGATATTTAGGTTATTCGGGGGGAGATCATCTGTATAGATGCAAATAGTAATCGCGACAAAAGTGCTCCGTATGGTACCCCTTTCCCTATGGATCATTGAGAGTGTATCATATATCGATGAGCAAATACGAACATACTGTTTCCTTCCAGAAAGGTTAATTCTGTACCAGTTCAATGCTTGACAGGAAACGCCGTTGTTGCATGTTAATTTTTGCAACAATATCAAGTGATGCTGTCAAAGGCTTTCGATAAGTTTAACGCCCGTATTCTAAAAAAAAGCTCACTCACACTCAATGAGTGAAAGTTCAATCTGAGCATTTCTCCAGTGTCATTGCTGTTTTTGAATAGCTGGAGGGTTAGTGTCATACCCTAATATATGTGACCACCACCCTCCAGCTATTCAATAACAGCGTTGACACTCACGAGGAGCTCAGACTGAACTTCCACTCATTTAGTGTGAGTGAGCTTTTAGAACATGGGCAAGTACAATAGCAGAAAGCTTTTTATTGTCCATTAAGTTAAATAAGAAAACACTCACCAGAATATTGATTGTTTTGGTGGAACAGTGCTTTTTGTTTTTACTTTGATGAAGGGTATAAGGCGTCCGTTGCGGTTTAAAAACCGCTAAGTTGGTTAAGTGCATGCTGATATCTCGCAAATCGTTGACACTACTTCGTGGTCGCAGTCTCTCAATAGTGGTAAAACCTATGCTATTTTCCAGGGATTTGGGAACGTCGAGCTTGTAAAGAAGCTGTTGATAATGTATATCAATGGACCTAAGGTAACAGGAAGGCTATCTTTGATGGTACGCATACTGATCTTATTTCTTGCACATTTGTTTGAAGGCATTGATGTTATTAAGTGCTGGACTTCAAAGCAAGTAACCGTAGTAAAATTGAACAATTCATTGGAAGAACATTGATTTGGTCTGGTTGGATAATCCGTCCTGGGTGACATGTTAAAATCGTTTTCTATTGCTACGTGTGCGACTGTTCTAACATGCATTCATATTTCCTATTGAGTGGAAGAATTAGTTCAAGTTATTGGCAATTACTACTGGGTTTTTGCTATACATCAAAGCTTCTTTATCTTTAGAAGGGATGCGGCTGTTAATAATACTTTCCAGTGTAATGCATCTCTAAAATGCAGAGTTCCTCCGTCGTCCAATCACCTACCTAGTCTCCTCTGTTTTGCATTACGTTTTAATTGTTTACTTACATTTTTCTTTATCTTGCCATTTTGGCACCAAGTACAATGTTGTACCTTTCCAACTTAACGGAGCGCTTCTAAGAGCACTTTAATTCTAAGATCAGAGGCGTGCTGCAGGATTACGCGCCATCCCACAAGATCGACCTGTAATTAAGCCATAGTTGTAATATATAAAGCAGAAAAACATACGTGACACAGTTATTTTTCAGAGCAGAATAACAATTACGTTAACAATATCATAGCTACCTCGAAATCCTTTGTTTCGCGATCTCGATCAATGACTAACATACCTCACTGCTAAAACATGTAGAACGATAAGAAACTTATCATCCCCGCCACGGCACGTTATACCGTCTCTTACTTGTGCGTGCGGATACCATCTTCAAACTTTTTAAAACTTTTTAAATAAAAAATAAGTCTTTACTGAACACAGATAATACAATCAAAATAAATAATGATTTGGTTAAGCAAGTGACGTTTGTAAAGTGTCTAGGAGTTATAATTGACGAAGAGTTGCATGACCGATGGAAGAACCACATCAGCTTAGTTCTGAAAACTATTATTAAATGTACAGGTCTGATTGCTAAACTAAGACATTATACAATAGAAGCACTTTAAAATTGATTTACTACGCATTAGCTTATCCATACCTCACATACAGTACGGGAATCTTGTTTGGGAAAATACTAGCCTGCATAACGGCTCAGAGAAAGTAGAGCCTGCACGAAACCCCCTGCTTTGCCATTTCCGCCCACTTAGCCTGCGGACTACGCCCACTTTAAACAGATGTCAAAATTGGCCAATCACACAGATTGTTTACGTTTGCAAATTTACTTATCAAAATAAAATATAAATATAGATTGCTGTATGTTCGCAAATTTCAAAACGAAATACTGTAATATACGGATGGCGGCTAAAGAAAATTGAAGTCTGTGGGAATAGCGCTAGGCCTAGGGCAATCTCCATCGTTGTCACAAGTAGTTTGCAGTCCATATCTACGATATTTCGTAGCTTTCTCGCACACGTACAAATAGAATTTATAATTTCGACAGCGGTCAACCATGATGTATTAAATGTTAAAGTTTCGAGCGATGCTGATAAGAGAATATTAAAGGTGTTTTATAATTATAGCCATCACATCACAGAGAGCAAGTCATGTTCATAAGACATAAGCATTTATAGCAATTCTCTCCTGGCACAAAATTATTAGCTACAAAATCATGAAGAAAAAATCTATTTGTCGTCGATGAAGTTATGAAAACGAACACGCTCGTGAGTTGTGAAAGAGGCGCTGCTAACAGACAGCAATCCAACGAAGACACCACAGTCAATATATCTAGAGCTTCGTGAACCAAGTTCGTAAATAACTTTAATGTTCAACCCTAAATCGTGGCTTTTAAGTTCTTTTGAATGCAAAACTCAAAGAAACGCCTCTCAATAATACATCCGCCGTGTTTGTATCGATTTTAGCATAAATTAGCATATTTTTTTCATTTTGAACCAATCAGATTTCTCGTCCTCTGAGAGAACGAGTAAATATGGCAAAGCAGGGGGTTTCGTAGGCTCAGATTCCAGCCGTTGTGTTCTCGCCACTCGCCCACTTAACGGCTGGGTCAATGAGCTTCGGCATTGTTCTGATTGACCAATCACATTACAGCCCCCCAAAATTTGGGGGGCATAAATTTGTATTAATAATGCATAAATTTAACACAAAAGTAATAAATTAAATATGGCTAAAGCGCATTGCTGAAGCGTTCGAGGACGGCGTTGTGCAGATATGTGCACTTAAAAAGATCTGTTCAACGATATTTATACGTGAACTACATGGGTTAAAGCGACATTTTGGGGGGAAATGTAATTCCGACGATTCTTACGACACAAACCGAAGTCTCTCTACGAATAATAGTCGCTGGAATGTTTTCGAATCTGTTGCATATTTTTATATTATGTTTATAAATATAAATATATCTCATTGAGGATTCTTGGTCATGAAAGGGCAAAGAATATTTTGCGTATGGCTTATCAAAATTAATAACCTTTCTTTTTTTAGCTTAGTTAGCTAGGTGGCCTAGTCCTTTGAAACCCTCCCTGTTTCTGCTGATTCAGTTGGACATTTATAATTATATTTACAGTAAACCTGGATGTGTTTATTATTGGGCTGGTCCGACATATTGCCAGGAAAGTAGATCTAGAAAATGTTCTTGTGACATATAGTATATTAGTATGTAGGATATTGCAGTATTTAAAAGGCTTATTTTAATTAATATTAAGACATGTTTATATGATCCTGTCAGGTGGGAAACCTTGCCAGGCAGCTAGGATGTCATGTTTATACATGTTCATGAGTGAGTTCATCAAATATATACATTTATTTTTGAACACGAGTTGATATGATAGTCAGGATCTTGGAAACTGCCTCATCCTGCCTAGCTGGGATTTTATAAACAGACCCTTTCATGGAGCCCATGGCTAGGTAACTGTAATAGGCTTGCATGGTTAGATCTCCCACAAGCTAGTTTGGGCCATTTGACAATATTTTTTAGACTAGGCAGGTAATTTGTGAACTGAAACTGATATATCAGGGTGCTCATATATGCTAATTACAGGCAAGCACAATAGATTCAATATTATTTTATATATTGACAATATGATTTACCATGAATACTAATTGAATAAATGTGGGCACATAGTTATTTGAAGGGCAATAAATAAATCCAATTGTTATCATGTGTTTCTTTGTTGTGA